TCCGGCGAGCGTAAAACCTCGCTTCGAATTATTGCAGGTAATGATGCGACCGAAAACAAAACATTTATCTGTGTCTAGAACGGCCGCTGACTTGTTGGACAAGATCCCCAATCTTAATTTGCTAGATGGGAATAAAATACTCGGCATAGGTATGATACATATATACCCCTTGATTTGCCCTCGCGCAAAGTCAATTCTAATCATCACTGTCGCTTTTTTTATCCGAGATGATGTCGCCACTAAACGGGTTGCTTTGTTTGCTTGCTTGCGTTGAATGGTCATTACGGATTATTGAAGGATTATGATATAATAGGAATGGGGCAAGGGAGGATATGCACTGCAGTGCAGGTGTTTAATTTAGATCACAAAGGCATCGTTTCCGGCATCGTGCAGAGTCACTATCTTCCCCTCCTCTGCACTGCGGCATCTCTGCGCCCCACACGCGGCGTCCTCACTCCACGGCCGGCCGCCGCCAACTGACCCACTCGCCGGGCGCCGCGACCTGACCCGTGTCACTGCCGCGGCCTGCGCAATAGAGTCGGGGCTGGAATCCGGGGGTTCGGCCGGCCGGCCGCCGCTGGAGCGGGGGACTTTTTTAGTAGACCTACTGTACATCACGGTAAACTCAGAGCACCAGCACGGCGCGGTTTAACATTAATTTTGAGCTGAAGTAACTTGATAACTTTTGATATTTCAATCAACTTGCATGCCCTATAACTTCCGTTTCTCTTACTGGCAAAAGAAAATCTGACTTTTTTATTGTGTTTTCAGGGAACGGCCCATTGAGCCTCCTCTGCATCTTGGCGGAGAAGGCGTCAGTGGTGGCGTACACGGGTGACGAAAATTTGGATCACCCCTATCATAACAAGTCCGAAGGAAACGAACGGTGCCGCCTCATCGTGGAGCGAACGGAAGTCTTGTGGGGATCCATGGTTTGGAAGGGAGTCTTTTGCTGTGGGCGACGGCGCACTTTGTGCTCAGTCAACAAACGGCGCCAAAGTGCGAAACACGCTGTGGTTTGTGTGTATCCATGTGATCCACACACCATTCAATGCTGAGCGCCAGCCACCTGTAGCCGCGAAGACTGAGGTCGAGAAGCTGGCAAAAGAGTGAAGCTGAGCTGACGTGGAGTCGATCCCCCCCCCCCCCCCGACGCAGTTTAGCGTGTGTCAGAATTGAAATACAGCGCAATGCGACCGTTTCTACAAACATGTATTTCTTGTAAGGGCTGGGGCGAATAGTGCAAGACTAGACGTTGGTCGGGCATGGTATACTACAGATATGTATGCTGGTTTTGGGCAATGATTCGTTAAATATTGGCCAATCCCAATATATAGACTAGCTGCCTGGTAGTGGCTGTTGTATCAGCATCATGCATGCATATCGCATAATGCTGATGCGGCAGCTGTTATCATGGGCGGCGAGCCTATACATTGGCTTGAGCCAATATAAAACGAATCAGATCAGCCGTTTCAGGCGGCGCCTGAGTAACACCCGAGTATCGTATGAGTTATCGATGTGAGTACGTCCTGAGTACAGCCCTAGTTTTCACTGAATAACCGATGAGTTCCAACTGAGTTATGGCCGTACTACCACCTGAGTTATACATTAGTACCAGCTGAGTTACATGTGAGTTACTTCCTAGTTTTTCATGAGTAATGACTTACTAATGCCTGAGTTTGGCCTGAGTTGTCTGAGTAGGACATGAGTTACGCATGAGTACTTACTGAGTTTTATCTGAGTTTTACCATCGGACAAAATGGCAACTCACTTTGTTACTCACATGCTACTCACTTGCAATGAGTTTTGCCCGAGTTTTACCTGCGTTCCGGCCTGAGTTTTACCTGAGTACGCGGATTTAGAGTGAGTTTTACCATTGGACAAAATGGCAACTCAGTCATTACTCAGAAAAGTGAGTAAAAATTTTTTCAGTGTACTTAATTATAAGCAGGCAGTTTCCGCTAAACCACTTGGCGAGGGCGACTGCGGCGTCCACCCGGTCCTGGTTTGTATAACTCTTCCATTTTTTTAACCATTTGCTCTAATGGTACGTACTTGAAAAAGAAATTAATTGGTTTAATTTACATTGCATGTTTGCTTGAAAATAACTTATTATTGCATTAATACTGTAAAAGCACTTCTCATTGATCCGTATAAAATGATCATTCGATTTTCAACGCGGACAGAGAATGAGCGTGCTCGGTGATAAGTAGATAAATAATTGTGTTTTGTATTTCATTTTCCTGGTTCAGAAGTGCTGGTATTTCACAAAGATATAAAGGCACGGAATGCGGCTTTTCTGAGCGAGGGTATAAGTCGCCAGGCTGAACAGCTATTCAGCTTCATGTTTGATGGCGTGAAACTCAGTCAAAATCATGACGTTTACATACGATCAAGCGCACCATTCAATACACTTACCTACCGTAAAACTCCATGCCAGTCCACTTGATAAGAGCAGTGAGCACTATCCCTTCTTCGCGCTGTCACACGCGCCCAAACATCAACCACCAAATGCCCCAACACCGGTGTGTCGTTTCGTCGCACAGCGCACAGACTGTCACAAACGCTGCACATGATTGGCGCAGAACTGCGCATGCGCGAACAGCCGAACAAGTATGGCTAAGCTCCGGCTTTACTCCAGTTAGCCGAAGGACAGAGCCAGCTTGATCAGCCCGCGCTCCGCCCAAATTAAGCCTGTTTTGGATGCGCGGGCAGATGTCGGGCTGAGCTACTGCTATCCGCACGTGAGCATAGCTGCGGCATGCCCCAGCTCAGCCCTAGTAAAAAATGCATTGGTTTTGATCAAATTGGGCAAACCCAGGCTAAGCCCAAGCTGCCCGACGTTTGCCACAGTTCAGCCCAAGCGAATTGCTGGCTGGGGATAGACAAGCAGCTATACGAAAAATCAGCCTTCTAGCTCTAAAAATGTTGAGTGCAGAGCAGAAAGACTGCCTGGGGGGGTGGCAACCACCCCCCCCCCCATGTGCGGGCGAGGGTTAACTGGTGGGTGACCTCTGAGGTCAGGTCAAGTGCCCCAAGGTTTGGTTCAGTTTTTGGTGAATAACTTCGCAAAAAACGGCCGCAGAGCGCCGATTTTGGCAGCATCGTGTTTACCTCGCTCAGGCGCATCGAATGATATACTTTTTGTTTGGCTCAGGTCAACTTAGGGTGATGACCTCAGGTCACGGTCAGGTCAGCGCCCCCATGTCACGAAAATGGTCGAAATAGGTCATGTCGCATATCATTCGATTCGGCAGGTCTTCCTGAGTCCATTGGTCGCTTTCGCGACTCGCTAGCTCAATTGGATCGGGAGTTATTGACGAAAACTAATATGACCTTGATGACGTCATAAATGACGTCACGCAAGGTTAACATTGCAAAAATGAGGCATCTAACCTTGCAAGGAGTGCATCAAATCACGATGATTCTGTGTGCTTGAGATAGTTGGAGATCGTTCCCGGCGCCAAAATAGCAGTTTCATTTTTCCCTACACTGAGAAACACATTTTAGAACTTATACTGATAGTACTCACCTGAGTAGGGTAAGGTGCCTAATTAGCGACCCTTTCCGATTTGCGACCTACCTCCCTACAGAAAAACTGGCAGGAGAAAACGGGGTAAAAATATCGTCAAAAGGTCAGCCATACTTTAGTTATCAAATTAAATTATTTTCCGGTCGTCGATGTTTCTGGTGGGACGTTTCAGGTGAGTTTAAATAAAAATGACGAGTTTCTTATCCAAAATGTGTGTGTTTGGGCCCTCTCTGATGAAAAGCGATGCACATTAGGATGATGCACCTTTTTTATTCTGAATCGACGTTCCTTATTCAATTGATTGTCGTTTTCCCATAGTGAATCGCTCAACTGTGCACAGCATGGCGGTTAAAAATGTGTCGCAACTCATATTTCCTATTTGCGCCTGACATGGTCGCAAATAGCTCAAGAAGGGAGAGAAAGGGGAAAAGAGAGAAATGAAAATGAGGTGTTGCTGAAGCTTGCAATGTGTGGCAGGGGATGCCAAATGTCGTCACCGACTGCAGGGGTGCCGAATTCAGCGCGGACCTCGAATATCATACGAGATAGCCCGCAAAATTTGGGTTTTCGCCTTCTTTTCGCCTTTCCGTGCATCACGTGATCAGTTTTTACTTCCGTAAATGTGTTGGATAAACGTTCCTGTTCGAGTGATTGAAAACTTTGCGTATAGGTTACCTTTTTGAGATCGTATTTAATCTTTTCGGGCGTCGCATTTTTTGCCATTTTTAATATGGGGAAACCCATAGACTTATTAGCGACCCTCCCCGGTCGCTAATCGGGAAGAGTTCCCTATTAGCGTTTTTTGCAATGGTTTGCCAAAATGCTCACTACAAATAAGTTAGTGAATATTGGGGCAGAAAATGGCTATGTTTTAATAGAAAAATGAACGGTCTCTCCGAAAATCAAGCCAGTAATACAGTGGCACCCACAGAGCGTGAGCAATGACGGTTCAAATTAAGGGGGTCGCTAATTAGGCACCTTACCCTACCTTCGATGGTTTCCATTTTGCCGCTTTGAGGAATTGGTCTTTCCCGAGAACTGTGCATGGTCTCCACTTCGGTTTCAGGAGTGGATTTGGTCTTGACCGAGATAGTTTAGTACTGGAAGTTGTCTAGCTACCCGTGTAACGCAAACAGTCGGTCTGCGGTGAGATTCGAACCAGCAGTCATTCGGTCAGAAAGGATGGTAAACTTCTCACTTTTTTCCTTATAGTTCTCGCAGCTGACGTGTTTTGACGACAGATGTCAGCACAGAAGGAAACTAAAGGCGTAGGTGGCGCTGTGTTAAGAGTAGAGCAGTTTGAAGTGCTGCGATTCCATTTTCGCTTAGGAAAATAGCAATTATTGATAAAAATAAAACATGTATTTTTCAGTAGAAGAAATAATTTTTAATGAAAAAGAGCCTCACTATATGACACGATGTTTATCGATTTTAACAGTTCAAACCAATTCAAATGGATATCCCTAAGGAACATCTCTATAAGGCCTCAGTGCTTCCGGTCCTTCCTTTCTCGAAAGCACTGCGAAGGCTGCCGGCAGCGTGGTTGTTCCTTTCGCGAGTTGGTGTCTGGCGCACAGCGCGAACGTCTCATGGTGAGTTTGTTTTCTGTATTCTTTGTGTGCACTTAACAGCTTGAAAGTAACCACAGCAAAGGTAATTACTTACTCTGGGAGGTGGCAAAATCTGTGTGCCATTACCCATTTTTGGGATATAGGACAGGTTGCGATTGCCATCTGTTTGCCAGTGTTAGCAAAATCTGCTTAAATACCAATTCGTGTGCTTTGAGGATATGGGTCAGAAATTAAGCGTTTCTGCCGTTTCTCTAATATTTGTCTTACTCTCCCTTTCAGAGCAAGAAGCCGTAGAGACGATGCTCTCAATGTTGGACACCGAAGTGAGGCAACTCATCGGGCACAACGCCAAAATGTCCCTGTTGTGTCCTGGCCCTGGGTCACGCGTGTCGCGCCTTGACAGCCGTGACCTTGAACGACCTTGACCGGCCGGGCCGGGCCGAGCGGCCGAGGGTCAGTATCGTCCGAGCGGCGCTGGTGTCAACACAGCTGAGTGCCGCGAGGTGAGGTGAGGCGTGTTCGCCGAGACGGTCCGGCCACAGTGAAATAGTGAAATACAAGGCTATAGAACTCCAGGTAAGGACACCAGCCGTTTGACCTTGAACGCCGCCGGCCGGCCGATGACGTCATTGGAGGCAAGCCGGCTCGGCGGACACACAGGGCGAATGCATAACGGAGGGGCGTTGGAACGTTGCGGGAGCCAGGGAGATATTTTAAAGTGGTTGCATACCACCATTGTTTGTTGATTGATCTACAGACTGCATCCTTTTAAACCTCGATGCATCCTAGGCCTGGATGGTGCGTACATTCGTGGAACGATCACCCCGTCCGACGTCCGTGGTCGAAGCTGTCATAGTATTTAAGACACTCAGACGGGTGCAATAACGGCGATCCGATCCCGTCTCTGGCGAATTTAGAGGGGTCGTAAGGACCCAGGCCGAATCTGACCGTCTATTTTTAGGGAAACGGGGTGGGTGAATTGACAACCGATGGCGATGATGAGAAGGGATCCCGTTGTCGATTGTTGTTTGACAGACAACACATGTTGTACTGGGCGTATGGCCATCAGAGGTAATGCCTGAACGTAGGCAAGCATAATTGGTCTGTCATATGACAGACATTGTTTAGGAATATAAAATGGTAATTGAGAGCATTGAGGATATGATCTCTACATTACGGGAATTCACTAATTACTACGGCCCATAGGGGCACCGCCAAAGCTGTTGTTTTGCCATCGGTCCCAGGCAACTCCAGGGAGCTGCAGTACCCGGCGGCCAAAGCGGCCACCTCGTCGACTCGCAGGTCCTCTGGGATTCCGTGATGCTTTAGTGCTTCACCCACAGAAGCACGGGCATAGCAGTAGGATGTGGGGCTAGGTGTCTGTCCACCTCTTCATTCAAAGAACAACGTGTACAGCGCCTGGTCCCGCCGAAGCTCGGTATCGACCGTGACTTATTCACAACTGGCGGATCCAGGAAGCGGTATTGGACACTGCGGGGGCTTACCCCAAAAAGGTTTCTCGGAATTAATTTAAAAAACTCGGATTACGATTCCTTGCGCACTGCTGTGCGGTGTGATTAACCAACATTTCCTCAGAAAAGTTGTGAAGTTTTCATTTATTCTCGAAAATCGATTTCGGGCGCTGCCCTGGTTGTTGGGAAGACATTTGCCCCAAATGCCTTCCCCTGGATCCGCCAGTGGCCGTTGCCCCACTCCGAGCTTGACAAAAGACGTCTTCAAACCTCACCAGAAACCGATGGTAAGGTGAATTTAAATCCAATAACTCATCTGTCTGCCCGCCTAAATATACTACACATGGTACAGCACCCGGCCCTGTCGGAGCTATTCGAGCCGATCGTGATATTTTCGGCTTTCCCCATCCCAAGCTCGAGCTCGATTAGAAACGTTCTCCTTCCCCACCCGATTGCTGATGTCAATTCAAATTCAATGCCTGATCTCTGTCTGCCCGACCAGAACCCATTCATTGCACACCGTTCAGCGCCCGGCCCCGCCAGAAGTATCCTAGCGCGCTGAGCAGTTGCCTCCAGCCGCGTCATCGCGAGGCCCCGCGCGGCCCATAAATGAATACACTGCGCGAATAGCCGTGTCACCCCCCTGGAAAGCACTGCGAAGGCTGCCGGCAGCGTGGTTGTTCCTTTCGCGAGTTGGTGTCTGGCGCACAGCGCGAACGTCTCATGGTGAGTTTGTTTTCTGTATTCTTTGTGTGCACTTAACAGCTTGAAAGTAACCACAGCAAAGGTAATTACTTACTCTGGGAGGTGGCAAAATCTGTGTGCCATTACCCATTTTTGGGATATAGGACAGGTTGCGATTGCCATCTGTTTGCCAGTGTTAGCAAAATCTGCTTAAATACCAATTCGTGTGCTTTGAGAATATGGGTCAGAAATTAAGCGTTTCTGCCGTTTCTCTAATATTTGTCTTACTCTCCCTTTCAGAGCAAGAAGCCGTAGAGACGATGCTCTCAATGTTGGACACCGAAGTGAGGCAACTCATCGGGCACAACGCCAAAATGTCCCTGTTGTGTCCTGGCCCTGGGTCACGCGTGTCGCGCCTTGACAGCCGTGACCTTGAACGACCTTGACCGGCCGGGCCGGGCCGAGCGGCCGAGGGTCAGTATCGTCCGAGCGGCGCTGGTGTCAACACAGCTGAGTGCCGCGAGGTGAGGTGAGGCGTGTTCGCCGAGACGGTCCGGCCACAGTGAAATAGTGAAATAGTGGTGTAATCGATAATATGCGTGGCCAGTACGCGAGTGAGATTGACCCTGTGCGCGACACCGATTCAGAGACGCACATAAGTTAACACCGTCGTGTCGGATCGCTCGTACCGGTGATGGGAGACAACGAGCAGCTGGAGCGTCTGATGGCGCTCGTGGTTCAGCAGTCAGCAGGCTGCCATGCTGGAGTAGCTCCTCCCCAGCCAGATGCAGCTACCAGCTGCGCAAACTGTCTAGAGCGGCCAACCGGCTGTCGTCGCCTCCGCCGCTCCTATGGCTAGACTTCGGTCTCACATGGACTGCCGTCGGTAGTGTTCACATGCCAGCCCATACATTTTACCTGTATTAACTTTTTAATGTCTGTGCCTGTGTACAGTGGCGGCGGAAGGTATTCTAGGATAGGGGTGCAAACGATATTGAAGCGCCCCTTCCCGCTGGGCGCCCCTTACCATATACACGGTTGTAGTAACACAAACAGTGAAGAGACTATTTCTTAATGAAACATCATTCGGCGCTAAAAAAAAAACACTCATTTAAATTGCGTTTAAGTTGCATCCGTCCTCCCGGCAAGTTGGTTAGATCTGCGAAATTTCGATCGTTAGAACCCGGTTTCTAATCGTTCCGACGCGACGCAATGATAACCGAGACTCTATGCCGAGACTAACCCCGCGTTCGATGTATCTCGGACGGCGAAGATTCTACGCCGTCCGGCCAATCACGTTTCATAACCGCAGTCGAGCCCCCGCTGACCTTGGACGTTATTGGCCGGACGGCAAAGAATCTTTGCCGTCCGGGAGACATCGAACGCCGCCCTAGTTACTGCTAACGTGAAGTGAATAGGCTGAGGTTTATGGTGGGAGTAGCAGGTTTGTGACGCCCCAGTGAAATAAATGCCGCCTTTCAACACCGATAGGAGCCCGAAATGAATGAATACAGGCAATCAACGCTGGTAGGTGTCCCAGCGAAATGAATGCATCTATTACCACCCAGAGGTGCCCCCATTTCAAACTAATACGACGGCGACGCCTCCACACCGATAGGGGCTCATCCCAGGGGAACGGAATAAATGCCGCCCCCTCATTGCCGGGCGCCCAAGGAGAATGAATGTTATTATACATCAACACCAATATGCCTCCCAGTGAAATGAATTATGAATGTCGCCTTTCGACGCCGGTAGGCGCCCCAGACACCAGTGGATTTACTGCCGCCTTAAAACACCGATAGGCACCTCAGTGAAGCGAATGCTGGCCTATACCACCGATAAGCGCCCCGGATGAATAAATACCACCCGTCAACGCCGATAGGCGCCTCAGTGAAATTAATGCCGCCCCAATCTCCGATAGGCGCCCCAGGTGATACATGTCGCCCATCAACACCAACGGGCGCCCCATTGAAATGAATACCGCCCTTCAACACTGGCAGACGCCCCCGTGGAATGAATGCCGCCCCACAATGCCGATGGCCGTCCCTGCACTGGAAAATCAGTTTCGCCCCTATACAGGCGCCCATAGAAGTTTGCAGAGTGCTATTCCTGGTCATAATCATCTCCCCAGTAAAAAAAAAAAACGCAAAATACGCCCTAGCACTAGGGGTGTAACCGCCCATACGGACAGTGCAATTTTACAGGCCCCAATCTCGGACCTCCCTTAACATTCATATGTTGTAAACGGCAAACCGCCCCCGATAAATGTTACACAAACTAATTTCCTCTCGCATATCGGCCATCAGGCGCCCCTTTTTGTCGCATGGAGCCTGCAACGCTATAAGCCCTCATATGTTCGTGTTGGCGTTCGGAGGCTATCGCCTTCAAAGACGTCTCCATAAATGTTTCTTTTTCGTCCCACACACAGGCGCCCCTCTTTCGCATGCAGGCGCCCCTCTTCCGCATGGCGCGCTTCTCGAGTGGCTGCGCCCTCCTAGCCTTTATCGCCTGGCAAGATTATATTCGACAGGGTCGGCAGCATCTGCCTTTGTTTCAGATAAGGATGCCCTCCACTCTTCAGCATATCAAAAGATACTTTTCCCACGTCATTGCCACCCTCTTCGTGTCACAAGTGCCTTTATCAGTTGCGGTGTCGCACTGCTCAGCTTTATGGCTGCCGCACCTCTTAACAGTTAACTTCCTGCCTCCTCTACAGATTTTCGAGGCGCCCCTTTCCATAGCTTTAGGGTGCAGCTGCCCCCCTTGCCCCCTGCTTCCGCCGCCACTGCCTGTGTAACTATTGTACGTGCCTGTACTTAACAGTGTTTGAATTGTACATCGTTCGCACAGTCTGTGGACCGTGGGGAACGCCGCTTGACATGCATTTTTGCACTTACCTGCATTCCGTGTTAAAAGTAAAGTAAAGGGACTGAGCTGTCGTGCACCGGGAGATATTATGGTCTCTTGCTAAACGACACAGTTGAAACTCAGCACGCTGGTCGGTACTGACTGGGGCGGCAAGCGAAAGGGTTTGGGCAGCTTTTGAAACAAAATGTTCAAAATGTTCGAATGACTGCATCGCATGTTCTGTTCCAGAGTGAGTTTTTTGACATCTGACACAATAAATATACATGCCTGTTCTTTACCTTGTTTGTGCATGGAGGGAATGGGAAGGATCGAGAACGCGGATGCTGTGCCATGAAAAGCTGGCGCTCTACAGGGAGGGGAGAGGGGGGGAATGGGTCGTGAGCGCGAATGCCGTGCCAGGAAAGCCGGCGCTCTTAAGTTGTAAAGTTCTCGGAGACCATACAGGATCATATTATGAGCGGGAATTGTGTTTGTTTATGATCTCATGACCTGGTAAAGGTTCTCATGGGAGATCATCCCGCAGTATAAGAGTACCTTATCCGGGCAAAGTTCTCGTTCAAGATAGCACACCATTCTCACTCGAGAACGTTACGGGAAAAACCTGAGAACTTTACCAAACTGGAGACCAACAACTGTAAACAAAGTTCTCCCCAATTGAGGCTCTCATACAAGACCAGAACGACCCCTGCATGGTCTCCGAGAACCATGGATAGGCTTGAGTGTTTCTCAGTGTATTGACTTATGTAATGTCACGTGACCTACCTGACCTCATGTGACCTTGAGGAAAAATCTTACATATACAAGTTGTGGGACCTCTGAAGGATACTAGGTCCCGTAAGTCTCATCTCCCCTCCCTGTGAAAGCTGCTCTGACACTGAGGGCGTTGCGAAGTTGCAGCACCTGAGGACCGTGCAGAGGTTCACTTATGACGTCATAGGTCAGTGACCTGACCTGACCGGAAAATGCAATTGGTGTCACAAGATCCGACTTGAATTGAGGTATGTCAAGTTTCAGCTCTCTATCTCCAGTGTGTTCCGAACTATCGTGAAACACCCTATGGGGGGGGCAGGAGGGGGGGGGGGAGGACCAGACGGACGGCGCCCACCATGTAGCCGAGCCTCGGCGGGCGGGCCAACCCGATACGTTCAAAGCTGAACCGGCGATAGACCGGGCAGGTTCGGGCAAGGGTTCTTGATTGGATCATGTTCGGAAAAGTATGGCGAATCTTCCCATGGTAGAGTTGACGTGGTCTGCTTGGTAATCTTCTTATGTCTCTACGTTTTTACGATGGACGGTGCTTTCATGGGATGTCTAAGAGGGTCATTTTAAAATGAGCATAACTCATCGTTTAGTCCAAGGATACCGGTCAAGTTCGGGTATACTATCATATAAAAGCCCAGTAATCATGTGCCATTTCATTTATTTCGAAACATCTTCGACAACTATATGTCGTATATACCAAGAAGTGCGAGATTTCGACGATTTCAGCACAGCCGGGACTTGCATTACGTAGGTATGTCCAGGGTGTTTCACTAAAAGTGTCAAAAAGTAAAAGGTCATAATGCACATAATAACAATGTTTTCTACGGAAATTTGCATACCATTTCATCCGCAATTGTTGGACATTTGAATATATAAAAACGATAGCACCGTCACTCAAACCTATTCCACATATCCGCCCCTTCTTTTGATGCACCGTTTCGGCACGTGTCCGGAGGTGCCTCACAGCCCGTTTTCATCTTCAGCGTCCAGACTGTCGGCAAAGCCTTGAATGGTGCTCTTCAGCTCCCGAAGTGATGCGACTTGAGTCTTCCTCAGCTCTGCGAGAGCTACTGACCAAAACCAGAAGTAAAACGGTGACAGATCGGGGCTTTGCGCTGGCCAGAGGCGGGCGGCAAGGCAGCTGATTTTTCGGTGCAGGAACTTTTAATCCAGCCAGTTCCTGGTGGTTGCAGCCATTATAGTGGCTGTTTTTGATAACTTGTAAGGCCTTGGCTATTTCTGATGTTGAAATTAGCTTCTTGTTATCTTCAAAGACCCTCAAAAAGACCCTGACCTTTTCAACGGTTTCCGCCGAGAGGTGGGGGACCCCGTCTCATTTTTGGACTGCGACCGGCATCGAAGGAACCCTTTTAAACCTCTCAAGAAGCCCTTTGAACCTTTTATAATCTGGAACGTAGCGAGGTGAGAGAATAAAACGTTTCCTGAAAAGTCGGCATACGGTTTCAATGTTTCTGATGGCACCAAAGTTAAGTGTAATTCATCCCTCCTGTTGCGGTGTAAATAACCTGTTCTTGTTCTGCATAAGGAAAAAACGACTAGTAACTTTGGCCTCCTGCCCTCGCTCCGTATGAGTGTAAAATATATCTTAAATGGACAAAGCATAAATGTCCAAAAATTTGCAACCAAGCCACGTGCGCAACCACGTGATTTGCATATTTTATATAACTTTAATAGGCATTTACTTTTTGACACTTTTAGTGAAACACCCTGTATAATAGCTTTTTTAACACCAAAAGGAGGACATTGGACCAAAGTATTATGCTATCTACATACATTGGACAATTTTTTACCGATTGATGTGTAGGTATCACTAAAAGTCAAAATTCCAAAATTCGTTTTTGATTAAATTCGTGCTAATCTGGCGTTTGGCCACACTGTGTACCGGCTAGTGACACCCAGCGCCGCGTAGTGGCGAGAGGACATTATTTTTAGATTACTGTATGTACGTAGGTACATACGTGTACAGTCTGTCTTAAAAGTACCGTGCAAAGTGACGATGGATCCATCAAGCCTGACCGAGAAAGGCTTTAAGCTTTAGTTTAGTTTAAGCGAAAAGCTTTAGTTTGAAAGTCACTGACCAATTGACGTAGGGAATGGACGAGGATGTGAATTGCTTCGGTGACCCAAATTTAGCAGGCCCTTCCTCAGTCAGGCTCGATGGATCCACCGTCACTTTGCGCGGTACTTTTAAGACAGACTGTACGCCGGTACCACAGTGTCCCTTCGGTGTCTCAGTGTGCGCGTGTCCGTGCAGTAGCGAACCGCATTGTGCAGCTGAACTGTCGCGGAGCCGGGGCAGCACCTACTGGTAGGACCCGGCGGATGGCAGCGTTTCTCTGTGGTTGTTTTGCTAAAACTCGTCGGCGGCTGTGGCAACTGAGCGCCCGATTAGCCACACCGTATCAGCGCAGTCGCCGCTCCCTCCAGTAATCCTTCCCGCCCCGCCGCGCCGTCCCTTCCCTCCCCTGCACCCCAACACGCCGGCCCTTCTGGTCTAACGGGGAACTGATAGCGCCGCGATAAGAGGTCGCCGGCTGTCATCTGGAGACGTCCCGCGGCGGGCCGACGCGCTCCACCCTATCCGGCCGTGGACACATCTGGCGCCCGGCCGGGTCAGAGTGTGACTGCGGCAGACGTGATGTGGCCAGTCGGCGAGAGGGCCCGCTGCTGGCAGGACCTGACCTCCGAGCACCGTCGGCACACGGAGGAGCGTGCTGCTGAACCATGGCCCCGCTGTACGGCCGGCCGGCGCTGCTGCTGCTCCCGCTGCTGGCAGGATGGACTCTCAGGTAACCGCAGGCTGCCAGTTTGACATTCGAGTCACTTCCGTGTATTTTGATATTGACCGCGAATTAATTTCTAACCCTCGGCTACGTTTTTATGTCACACCGAGGGTTTCGTGGATAATCTAAAAACGGTGCGTGGGGCACTACAGTTATGAAGCACTCATTCCACATTATAAACTGTGGAACTTTCATTCCCAGATCATTGCCAGTAAAGATTACCTATATCAAACAAATATTACGCTAAAGCTGTTGCACCTAGCATTGCAATAAAAGTATTTTCATTAGAGCACCTTTTTCGAGATTTTTCCCTTTGTAGGGTGATCCGTTGAACTCAGGCTCGATCTGAAAACACACCGGGTCGATTTTCATCCTAATCAATGATGAGTGTTACCCTCGTGCATACATACAGTGCATGCTGTCAATGTACGCGCGTGGTCTTACTCGGTGTGATGATGTTTATGATTTCAGCCGCGTGGCGACCGTCCCTTTGCCGTCTGGGACCGTCCCTGGGCCGTCTGGGACCGTCTATCAGCCGTCTGCAACTCCACCATCTGCGCCGTCTGGGACCGTCCCTGGGCCGTCTGGGACTGCCCCTCGGCCGTCTGCGCCGTCTGGGACGGCCGCGGCGCCTGGCGGCCCGGCGCCGGCGGTGCAGTACTACGTGCTGGCTCTGTTCTGGCCGCAGACCAGCTGCCTGCAGCACCTGGCCGACACGGGCGCCGGCTGCGCCATGCCGCCCGCCGTCGACGGCTGGGCCGTGCACGGACTGTGGCCGGACGCGGCGGCCGGCAACCCGTACAACTGCTCCGGCCAGCCGCTCAACGCCACCGAGCTGGCGCCGGCGCGCGCCGCCCTGCTCCGGCTCTGGCCAGAGGTGTACGCCGACCGCGGCGCGCGCCAGTTCTGGCAGCACGAGTGGCAGAAGCACGGCACGTGCGCGCTGGCCGCCGGCGACGCGCGCTCGCAGCTCGACTACTTTGTGCGCGCCCTGGAGCTGGGGCTGCGCTACGACCCGGGCGCGGCGCTGCGCCGGGCGGGCCTGGGGCCGCGCCGGCGGCCGCACGACACGGCCCGGCTGCTGGCCGCGCTGGCCGCGCTGCTGCCGCGGCGCGCGCTGGTGCGCTGCGAGCGGCCGCGCGGCGCGCCCCAGCCGCTGCTCAGCGAGCTGCGCGTGTGCGTGGACCGGCGCTGGCAGCCGGTCGACTGCTACCCGCCTGACGGCAGCGCCATCCGCGCGCACCGCTGCGACGGCGCCACGCTGCTGTACCCGCCGCTGCGGCACGAGCCGGTGCCGCGCTGGCCCGACTGGCTGCCCGCTCCGGCCGCCGGCGGGGGGACGGGCGACTCGTGACTGGCGGCGCGGGCTGACCGGGCTGCTCGGCTGAGGAGGACAGGGACGGGGCGCGGGCTGACACGGCTGCCCGTGTGAGGAGGACAGGGACGGGGTGGACGGAGGAAGGAATCTTGCCTGGCTTACCCACATGTGGGAGCGGGATCTAACACAGATGCACACACCCATCTCTAGGAATCTTGCACACATCCTCCGAAGTATGTATAGTCTCATATGTGCAGTGCTAATAGCGTTTTCGCGAACCGCTCTGTCTGAGGTAAAGCGTATGAACGATAGTACAAGTTTGTATGCTTATCCAAGTGTGTCATCCATGAAACGTTGTTGTAGGTATGTACAAAGTGTGTTGAACAAAATGCAGATGCACACATGAAAATCGTTTAATACATGACTTAATGGCTGTGTTCGATTGTTTGTTCATTTCCTTCTGGTCTATTTCTACTTACACCATTTCAGAGGTTTGGGATAAGAAGATTAACATCATTTTTGTTCAGTCATCTCTCCAATGGGCTAGTTTGTGCCTATTTACCGCTCCTCCTTAACTACACCTATACGTCGGTCAGTTCAATGATTTTGCCCATCATCTCCATTCTCCAATGTGTTCTGTGAGTGCCGCTTATGGGTCCAACAGGAAAGATGTTTGGCACTTTGGCCGCAGTTAACGAGCGCTTCTCCGATTCCGGATGTGATAGGCCGCATTGGACTTTCTTCTTTGTGAATTGTTGGATGCGATTTATTTGACTTGCATGCATTGTTGGAAGAAATAAGTAACCCATAACATTCGCAGCAATAAAGTTGCGTTAACCCGCCCCCCCCCCCACTGGGGTATGTTCTGTAACGCGCCTCACTGGAGTGGGGGCTACTCAATTAACCCGCGCGGGGCTGGGGTCTCCAGCCGAACGCGCGGGGCGGGGGGGGGGGGGGTGTAAATTTTACCCCCCCCCCCTGTTATCTCCCAAACTAATGGTCCGATTTGGAAAATTCAAACGCCAGTCGAAAGATCTCATCACGAACAACTAAAAACATGTACTTAATTTAAAGTTTGAGGTCAAGGTCAAGGTCAGGTCAAGGGTAGGTACAAATTGCAGGTTTCTACAGTATCGGCCTTGCACCGTAGCTGCCGAAGAATGGAGTCATGGACTGAGACTGATTGCCCAAAACGTGTTCTTAGGCTACCAAGACAATATAAGTTGCATACGATATCATTCAGAGGTCAAGGTCAAGGTCAGGTCAGGCCAGGTCAGGTCACCAAAAGCAAAATATAGAAAAGGGCATGTGCGACACATGTTTTTTGGGTCATTTTACTCATAGAATTCAATAGGCATACTCAATAAGTGATATGGACCACCTCTGGATGAATTTCAGGTCGAGGTCAAGTCAAGGTCAGGTCAAGTGAGGTCAAATTTTGAAGTTGGTTGTTAAGGCCTAAAAAGGTGTCTACCTGATGCAGTTTTTCACGGCGAATCGAATGGTGCTATTTTTGTTTCCGTACGAGGTCTAGAACTTCCGAAAAAATCATTTTTTTTTCAAAATTTTTGTGTGTTGTGACGTCATAAAATTTTGAATAACTCCCACATTTTTGAACCGATTCTTCTAAAAATTGGTATGTATAGGTGCACATAGACCACTTCTCTGACATATATTCCGGTTTTTTCGATTCACTCAAGATTTTGGATTTTATAGGTAAGTATTTTCCCAAAAAAGTCAGTTTTATAGAAAAAAAAATTGGGCCAAAATCCAATATTTTCAAAAAACCGAAATAGCCATTTGTTAACCCTATTAGTGGCAGGGGGGGTTGTTTTTATCCACCCCTCAGGTTTTTCGGGAATATCTCCGAAACCGCTGAAGCTACGATGCTGAAATTTTCTGACTTTTCCTAAAACTAAATTGGGCACATTCCCTGAAAATTTCAAGTTCATAACTTTACCAGGGGCGGCTCCAGATCACTGGGAATTGGGGGGTCCTATTCGTGAAGCGAGTCATTTGGGCGAAGATCACGATGCTGCACCAGTTTTACGAACAGTGAATGAAAGGTATCATGTGATGACATATACAAAGTTATTGTGCATCCTCTTTTGACACGTTTTTGCTATAATAGGCGGATCCAGGCGTCCAAAAAGGGGGTTATTTTTTACCTCCCAACATAGGTGCCCTGACACCGCCTATGCATGACCAATATAATTTTAGTCGTTCTCTCATAAGAAAATTGTAACATAACAAGACCATTGCCACCCTTTTTAGAAACAGTATCAACAAAAACGTGAGATGATGTTTTTTCGTACTCCAGCGTAGATGGGCAGCCATTCAGCTCCCACGCTCTCAGTCCCAGCGGATAAAAATCAACACCTAACTATCAACAAAAACCTTATTTACTATACTTTTTGTGTACCCCCAATCCAGGCATCGGTAGGATTGTGATTGCAGGATTGCAAAATCCTGATTGCATTCCTTTTTGGTGGATTGCACCTGGATTTGAAATCCATTCCAAAAAACAGGATTTGATTGCGGATTGGATTGCATCATATTTCCAATTTTGCAATCCAATCCGGATTGTGTTGGATTAGTGCTTTGAAATGGTTTGTTGCGATTGAAAATTATGAGATCGGCTTAATGTTCTTTGCTATCAAGGGCTTTACATCGAAACTTGAAATAATTTAAAAGCTTTTAATTTAAACGCTCAAAATAATATAGGCTGATGAACTACATAGGAAGGGCAAAATTACGTAGTTGAGGGCGAGTTTTAAAAATATAAAACACTGGTTGGGTAGAGGTTTAAATGTGGGGGTGTTTGAGGCAAAAAATATTTCCCATAAAATACCTGTGCCTTAGATAGGAATTACTCGCAAGACTAGGTACTAGAAATGGGTGATTTGGGGATGGAGGCACGACCCTATGCCCCCTCCCTCCCCCAGATCCACTAGTGCACATAATGATACAACAGGATTGCAAAAAAGGATTGCGGATTTGTCACAATCCAAGTGAAAAAGTGGGATTGCGGGTAGGAATGCAATCCACTTCGGCACTAGGAATGTGGATTGGGAATGCAATCCTTTCAAAAAGGATTTTCCCGATGCCTGCCCCAATCTCAATTATCTGTATCCGCCTATGATTTTTGAAAATGCATATTTTTAGGATCCATGTGAATTCCTGGTTCATTTAGCCTGTCCCGTAGCTCAGTTGGTAGAGCATTGGACTCCCGGTAGTGAGAGCCCGGGTTCGAGACGCTCCGGCGCTCGATATTTGAGACTCCTGACGGGGATGGTCTGCGGTTGGTGGGAGCAGCCGCAGCCAGTTGAAGTCAGTTGAATGGGACAGGCCGTGTCCGGCTTTGAAGGACACGTTAAACTTTGGCATCTAAATTCTCCCGTTACCCGGAATTGCGCGATCGGACGGTAGGGGTCGGAGTCTACGCAACAAGCTCTGCTTAGCGTGGGATCCGGCTCTGTCAATCCGTCCATTCAAACATTCGAGCTAAATTTATATAAAAAATAAAAAAAAAATTCTCTATCGATCGGCAAAAGTTGCGTTAAGATTGGTTCAGAAACCTGGTCGTGATAAACAGTCTAAAATGTATCTGCAATTTGCCCATTTTTACCCCCCTCTACCCCCCTATTGACATTTTTTACTTTTATTTTTTTTTAGAAATGTAGATCTCGTTGAGCCAAATCGAATGCCGTTTGAATTTTGAAAATCGGCCGGTTAGATCTCGAGATATCAAGGGGGGTCGTAAACAGCCCCCCCTGCCAATAATATGGGGTAGCCAGGAGCCTGCCACTAAAAGGGTTAAAGTAGAATTACGTATAACCTTTTTTGTTACGTCTTGATTCCTTTAAAAATGAAGATGTTAGCGGTGTTTGAAATTTTGCCGTTTTTGAGGCGAAAATGGCGAACATGACGTCACTAAAACGTCAATTTCTCAAAAATTTACCGACGGATTTCGCTCAAATTTTCAGGGAACGTGTCAAATTGATGTAAGAAAAGGTACTGAAAGTTTGGCGACGCTGCGCGCCGCCGTTTTTGAGATATTGCAAAAATTCGCGAGGGGGGGTAAAATTTACCCCCCCAGCCCCGCGCGGGTTAACCCACGAGCCGCTGGGGGGGGGCATAAAGTTGCCCCCTTTTACGTTTTGTAAAATATCTCCGAAACCTGATAAGCCTACGAAGGTGAAACTTGGCATAGCTTCAAATGAATACCTAGGCAATGTTTGAGGAAAGTTTGGTGGTTGTAGCACCTAAGATGACGTCACAGTGACGTCATAAAGTTTTGTCGTTTTCCGATATGGACCGTTTCTGATGACGCTGAGCATGAAACTCAACTGTAAATGAACTAGACAGCACCTGCTGTCATCCTAAAACATCTAACTACACTTCCAGCTAGTTTCTGACCAATAATCGACCCTTTACCTATATTCGGTCCCATATATCTGATGTATCGTGAGGAATATGAGAGTCGCAAATCTATAATTTCACTTATGACGTCACTGTAACGTCATTTCAAATGGGATCGACACCAAATTTGGACACAACCTCGGCTAGGTATTCAGAAAGATGTGTGCAAAGTTTCGCTTCTCTATCTCTTCGCGTTGCGACGATATCGTCGCAGAAGTAAAGAGGGGGCAACTATATGCCCCCCAGCGGCCGGCGGGTGGCGCGGAGGCCCAGCGGCCGCCGGGTTAAGCCCCTAACACCCTCCTAACTCCGAAACTACTGCGCTGATTGTCAAAATTCAGACGGCATCTGATAGCCCTGAAAAACTGCCACGCAAAACCTAATGCCATTGACCTCGGGGTCACCCATGACGTTTCAGGTCAGGTCAAAATAAAAACTATTAACCCTCCCTGCGGTTTTTCGCAGATATCTCGCGCCGCCGTTTTTGGCACACCTGTTTGTGCATCTTTCCGCACATGTTGTGAAAATTTCAGACCCAGGTCGCCTTAGGTCAGGTCACCAGGTCACGCCAAGTGACCTCACCTCAGAAAAAAGTAAGAATGCTCGTCATAGCT